CTTAGGTCACGGATGCACTTCCAGACGTGGCCCCTTGCCTATCCCCGACCCACAGGCTGGGTTCCACATTGTACCATTACTGCTGTAACTGCAGACTCTGCTTTTAGAAGAAATAGGATTCAAGTAAAAAAAGCAGGAACGCAGAAAGCTACCACCACTATTCTTTTAAATTTTGAATCTCAGACAACTCCTTGTGTAACTTAATTTGTACCTTTATTTTTGCATGAGAGGGGTTTGTAGCCGGAGTCCCCATTGCGTCTGTCAGCTCATGAGCTTATATGTTATCTGGCCTTGGAGTCAGTCCTTCTGAAAAATATCTGTGAATGAATGTCCTTCAGCTGGGGCTAAAAGTCAGATGGTAATATACTGTGGGTTTTTAAAAAAATTTATTCTGACTGTGGAATTGGTGGGTTTATAGGGGACATGTGTGTGTGTGTGTGGTGTGTGATGTGTGTGCATGGCAGAGGTGTGACTGGTCCAACCCGGCTGGGCCTCTGGCCTCCACGTGTCCGGCCGTGGGTGTGCTCGGCTGCAGGCAGGGCTGTGATGGGAATCGCTCCACAACACCCTTCATCTCAGACTATCTTCCTTATTAATACAATCGTGTGTTAATTTTCTAAACTAAGGAAGCATTTAAAAGGAAGGGGGTGGGAAGGATATTGAGGTTAAATGAGGGGACAGAGATCTAGGGGTTCCATTTCTTTTTCTGCAGGAGACCACCAGGATTTTTCTGCCAAATGATAACAGACCGATTTCCTAATCAAACAGAGCATTGTTCGAGTCATTCAGAAACGTGTTCCTGCTCATTTCACAGCTCCAAAGAGGAGCTGACAGGCATCAGAAGAGAAGAATTGTAGCTAACCGAGGAATAATAGAAATGAAAAAATCAATGTGGAGACATAATTGAAAGTAAGAACTGGAGGTCGAGGTAATTGAATGGTAATGTGAGCAGAAACCAGTGGGATCAAGGAGCTGCAGGATGAGGCGATTCAGAGAGGAGAATCTTTCTCCTTGCTGGGGGACGCAGCCCCTGAGACTGTGGATGCAGTGGTTATCAGGCATTTGCATCAAGGAGAAGTTCCCTTCCAGTTTATTTCCATGACCTTTTCTTTTTCCTTTATAAAGGATGCCTGGAGACCTGGAATGAATCCAAGACTGTGACTTCGCCACTGCTATAACCAGACAGGGGCATGGCCGATCCTGTCCTTGTGACGATCTCAGCAGCAGAATTCCATCACTTCCAGCCGCCTCACTCAGTGAAGGCACACCTAACTGGGACAGCGCCCTGGGATTCCAAAGCAGCCCCAGAGAACTGGCTCCCTCCCTCCAGCCTCAGTTCCTGGAAGAAAATTCCAGTTAAAAATACTATGTATTTTTCTTTGCCAAATGAGAGCTAAAGGGAAGATTTTCATGTGTTCTTATGGGGAAGGTGAGTGCTCTTCATGGGCATTTTTCTTATAAAACCAAAATAACTCCCCTTGAGAAATATGTGTTTTTCTTGCATGAAGCCCTTCACAGACTTTGCCTATCAATTCCAGTGAAATCAATACTGCATTATGGTCAGCATCGGGAGGTTTGGATTGTGTGACCTTGGGCAAGTCACTTAATCTCTCTGCCACAATCTATAGGAGCAAAATGAAAATAATTTTAGCCATTTCAAGAAGGGAGAGCAAGATTAATGATAGCAAGGTTTTAAGACAATTGTCTCTGTGGCAGATTCACCCACTCCCTCTGTGTGTGTATGTGTTTAATGTTTGATTTTTCCTCAGAATCCAAATTCAACCACCCACATATTGACACCAAGACAAAGCTACAATACTCCCAAACATAGGGGGGCAATGCCTCCACTCGGCTGAATCTGCTGTCTCTGGACACAGTGAGCACTTGGAAGGGTCCTCCATTTCCCCTTTGGAGGAGGAGAAGGAAGGCAACCAAAAAATCCATTTGGAAAAGAATTCTTGCGTAAATGTCACTCTCTTCACATTTTAGAATTTAAAAGTAATCACCTGATCAATCCATTTAAAATTTTGCAGTCATCTAAAATCCGATATTCCCAGCCTGGAAAGAACTTTTTCCTACTTGCACAATCTTGACAGACTTCAGTGCACAGAAATAATTCTGAAATTCTTAGCTCTCACCCCCAAATATAATTGCACATTTCTACCACCATGGGTTTGCTCAACCCATTTTACTAGCTTAGTAGTGTGAGTCAATATAATGCAGCTGTTCTCTTATTTTCTGTATTGACAAAGCACTCCCACTTCCCCATTATTCTAAGCATGCATTGCTGTCCTGGCCCTTCCGGGATTAACTCACACCTACAACAGTTGATTTATAGGGACTACATCCTTCAAGATCTTCCCTAGTACTTTGTGCAGTTTTGGTTTCATTGATGAGACTGGAGGATCCTAGCAGATGAAGAAAGATTTTAGCTGGTCCATTGAAGGCCCAGCTCACCGGCTTCCTCACGAAGTGGCACCCTTAATGAACAGATAGTTGATGGGTTTCCACTGGACTCACTTCCTGAGTCCCCGGCCTTGGTGTCCAGAGAAAGGAATGCACGTGAGTTTCACAGCACCAGCTGGCCAGCAGCTCCTTATTTCAATCCCGCCTCATCAGCTTTTGTGTTCATGAAATGCCTTTGAGATTCAAGATATATTACTCCTAATTTTTAGTGCTATTGTATGTATTTATATTTCCTGTAGCTTCAGCGGTATTTCATTTGAAGCTGGGGAACTGTATTAAACACAAATAACTAGGTGCTCTTTTAAAGTGGAAATCCATTTTTGTTGACATTTTAAAAGTACATGGCAAACAGATGCTCAAAAGAAAAATATGGACTATATGAAATAAGTTTATAAAGCCAGAAAATGGCCTCTGTGTTCCACACATGAAATCACTATGTATCTCACTGTGTCTATACTTGCTTCTTTTGTTACCAGCATCGCTTAAGAGTTCTTCCCCCCACCCCAGGCCTGCAGGCAGGCTGCTTTCTCTGCATCGACCCCCCCCCCTTGACCCCCACATTTATTTCCATCTGCTTCCATCCTAGATCCTGCTTTATCCTTCATGACTTGGCTTCAATGTCATTTTGTCGGAGGCAGTCCCTCACCTCTCAATATGTATTTGATCGGATTTCACTTCACACTATTTTCCAATATCTCATAATTTCTTTAGGGCCCTTCTCACAGTCTGAAACCAAATGTTGCTATGGCCATTTCTATAAAACCCATGGCCCACCTTAACCTGGACCCCAGCTGCACTGTGTGTGCTCTGAAACGGCAGTGGGATGTGTTCCGTCGGACGCAAGATCACGGGTGAGCATCGTTTCTTGCAGGTGATTGGAGATAGAACATAAAAATGCATTTTTAAATAAATTTTGAGCGCTGAGAGATGGTTAAGAATGAAAGTAGCTTACGTAATTTACATAGGCTTATATACCTTATATAAAGCTTCAGATACATTTTATAACTGATACATTGTTGCACACATCCCTTTTGAAATAATGGCACTCTGAGAGGCAGACGACACTGTAACACTCAATGTGTGAGTCCTGCATCCATCTCAATGGTCTTTCAATCGTTTCTCCAGAAAGAGCTGTTGCTGACAAAGCAAGCCCCCCCCCCAAAAAAAAAAACCTCCAAGATGCTCTAAAACTGGGGTTGGTCTATTATTGCTCAGAAATAATTTCAGAATATCTGAAAAGACTGAGATAGTTACTCAACGAACACATTTTAAGTTGAACACATGTCAAATCCTCATGGCATTTCCTGATGGTACCTCGCTAGTGTGAGAATTTTAAAGTAAACACATTAACAACGTCTAATCATTCAATCTTTTCAAATTATAAATGGACATTATTGTGTGTAGTAGCTTTGATTTTGAAATGTGCAAAATACTTTTTGCATGTATTGGACTCTGTGGAAATGCTCTAGAATAGTTTCCTTCTTAAAGTAAGCCTATGGTTAAGGCTTTCAAAGTAAGGGGCCTTTTATAACACGAAAAGTGCCCTTCATTTGTCTCATTTGCTGGTAATTACTTGGCTACTTGGCTACTGAAAGAAGACAATTCTTCTTCCAGCGTGGCCTAGAGACACCAAAAGGTTGGACACTACTGGTTCAAAAGAACCTTAGTAGAGGGTTGTGGGTACTGAGCTGCAGCGGAGACGTGGAAATCCAGCTCCTCCGTCATGAGCTGTTTGAGCCTGCATAAAACAGGGAGTGCAGCGACTCCATACATAGGTTTGTAGGGAGAGCTGGATAAGGTATTTCATATACAGCCCTTGGCATAGTGCCTGGATTATAAGAAACAGCGGTTACTAAGATAGCCATAAACACACATCTAAACCATGTCATTCTCGTTCAAGTTCCTTTGCTTAATGAATGATCCACAGCTCTTGAAAAAAAGAAGCAACCAATGGGAATAAAAAATCTTATATAGTTAAAAATGTAGACATTTTAAACAAGAGTAAATGACTGGACAGTCGTGTGTGTGAAAGATAGAGTAAGAGTGTGTGTACGCACGTGCATGTGATTTTCGGACAGGAAAATGAAGAAATCTTAGCACGGTGGGTGGGGATTAACATGCCACCTGGTCGGTGTTGTCTCCCGGCACGGAGGGTGCCTGTCACTGCCGCCAATGCCTGTCTGAGCACAGGTGCCCGTGCAGAGAGGGTCTCCTTGTCTTTCACTGCTTTCGACCTGCTTCTCATTGAGGGAAAAATAATGGAATAAAATGCCCTTGGTGGCTAGTTGGACTTCACCTTCTATTTTCAGCAGAATAAATTCATTGAATGTGCACCTTTTTCCAAGTGCAGAGTACGTCCATCCACCCATCTCTTCCATATGGCCATTTCGAAGTCCCCAGATGTGACACTGTGCTAATCACACAAAACGCAGAAGTTCTCTACTCTGTTCTTTCTGTATCACTCTGACTGAAGAATTCTCAAGGAGGGGATTCGACATACTGTGCCATTTCTAAGAAAATCAGCAAGCTGTTAATGCAGTAAATATCTGTTTAATTTACAAACATCAGTAGTATAACTGATATTAGTCTGGAGAAAGACAAAGCACATTGAATTATACATGTACATCTAATTTTCTCTGTAAAAAAAGTTTTTGGAAAGAAACATCTGCCTTTATAGGATACCCTGGGATTTTAAGGAGGGAAGAGCACAGACCACTATAAATCATCATCAATTCTACATCATAATTTAGCAGCAAACATGTTAACGTGGGAACATTAAGGTAACAAAGGAGCTTTATTGGTTGGAAAAAAATCACAGTTCTTGATATTACAGCCTTTTCTCTCAGCCTCCACCCCCACCCTCCCCAAAGGGCCAAAACAGTCAAGGGGACATTAATCTGTAAAAGATCTACTTTCTAGCGTCGACTGCTATGCACCCTCTCTGTTCGGTGAGGACAGGAGCCACTCCTGTCTGTACAGGACCCTCTCACACAAGGACTTGCATACTCCCTGCAGGTGTCCTGAGTGAGGCCACTAGGTCAGTGACACCGGTGGTCAGATGTCAAAGTAAACAAACAGACCAACACACATTGATCCCGAGATAACACCCTATGTTAGTTCTATTGCCAAAAAAAAATCCTGATTTTTTAGATTTGAAAAATGTACAAAAATATCAGGATAATTATAAATTAATATATATTAAAGCATCGAGACACAGCAAAAGGATGGCCTAAAATGTTAAGTACAATGTACTTTGATACAATAAATATTTCTCCTTGAAACTGAATACTGTATAGGGATGTTTAGAACTCATAGAAACAAAAATTCATATTATTACTAATTTATTTATCAATAATCTATTGGTTCTTCATCATCTCTTTTATCATTTATATTACAAAAAATTAATACTGGAAAACGGTAGATAAACACTTTTGTGTGCTTCTTCTGCTAACATGCTGATGTTTAAAAAGAAGATAAAATTTTAGCCTTCCCGTCTTCTCTCACGAGTGGAACCCAGGTTTTAGAGACACTCTGTATTTTGCACAAAATATTTCTCATCTGTTTGTTCTCTCCGTGAAGGCCGGGTCCCAGTCCTCTGCCTTGCCTCCTGCCTCTCATGCACGTACTTGGTGCGTCCTCGTGAACGCAGAGTCGCGGACAAGGGCAAGTTCACGCAGGCGCGCAGCAGCTCCGGCCGCCCACTTCTGCGGGGTTTTCAGCGCGGTTCCCATCGTGGTCCTCCTGCCTCCGGGGTTACCGGCCTCCACACTTCTCCAGCGTAGGGGAAGCTGTAGTTCAAGCATTTCTATTTTTTTCCCAAATGCAGAAAAAAAGTCTTTATTCTCATAATAAAAATAAGTCCGTTCTGTATTTTACAATATATTTCAAATATTTCCACTATGAAGCATTCATGAGTCCAACGTGGTCAAGGAGGAGACGACATCTTCCCAAGACGAGCTCAGCAGGGCAGGCGGTTAGGAGGCGCACCTGGCACAGCCGCACTTGACCACCTTCTCCACCTCGTCCACGAAGGAGGAGCCGTCAGTGCATTCGAAAGAGTATTTCCTCCGCTTGCTCCTCAGGGGCGCGCAGCACTGCCCGCCTGCACACCCGCCTCTGCACTCCAGCCTGGAGACTTTCTTGGTTGTCTGGCAAGCGGCGTAGCCCTGCTGCTTCTGGTAATAATCTCTGACCCGCTCCCCTTGACACGACACTTCTAGGGGAGAACAAAAAGCACAAACTCTTTTAAGGACGGTCTCTGCCCGTCCATCACGCGGAGTGACCAAGAATGCGCACCTGGAATCGCACGCAGGTGGCAGGTCCGCTTCCCGTTTGTAACTGCTATTGTCAGTGTTAGGCTTATATGACATATTAGAGACCAGTGGTGTGGCCTGCTTTTTTTTTCTCCAAATGCTTATTTTGGGGGCCTTTATTTTCAGCAGAGTGCATACTAGAAATGTGAACTATTAATACTATGGCCATTGGACTGACAAGAATATTGGATTCCTAAGTCTTTTTCTTTACGGCAAAGACATACATCTTCTGTTTTTACACTCCCAACAGCTGGTTCTGTTTACCGCAGGGAGCTGTTTCAGAGAGTACGCAATTTAATTTATTAGGCCCAGGGTTTAACATCATTCAATCTGTTCCTTAATACAAGTAACATTCCGCTAACTTTCTTAAATTACCCGGTAGGAACTAGTTCAAATAGAGCCATCTGCTAAAAGCTTCCACGGCCACGTCCTTCAGGTCTGGTCCCCTGACACACTCAGCCAAACCTGTGCCAGGTGGGGGCAGGGCATCCTGCTCACGCAGACACGGAAGAAGGAGAAAGGTGGGCTAGTGACTCAGACCTGCGTAATGGGCTGGGATAAATTAGTTCGATCCTAAGGTCAGAGTTGATTTTACCCTCACACTGCAGCCAAATTATTAGCTCCCTCTTCTCCGTGCTAGAAGACGAATTAGTAACATATTTGGGTGTGAACATCAGATAAAGGTAAGAAAGGAGTCAAGTTAAGTGCACTTCTATGGAAGGTAGAAAGGAGGGTTTCCATAGCGAATCAAGTTGTGCACAGACAACCGAAGGCCCGTAACAATCTTGCAGGGGAGGATTAGGACAGCGGGAAATAGACTGACAGCAGCCACTCCAAGTCATGTAAAGACCTGGCACTCCCCGTCTCTCTCTCACTCTGTGTTCCTTTCTCTCCTCTTGCTTTTTCAGACAGCCTAGCTGGTCTGGCTTACCTCTGTCACAGCTGTCCCCGGTGTACCCACTGCTGCATTCGCAGTAGGGCTGCCCCAGGCCCGAGAGCCTGCACTTCCCATGCTTGCACTTGATGGCCTGGCAAGGGTTCAACAGATCCTCCTCTTCATCACAGAGGACACCCCCGTGGCCCTCCAGGCACTTACAGCTGTAGGAGAAAGCGTTGATGGGCAGGCAGGTGCCATGCACACACCTGCAGAGAGGAGGGACGCAGGAGTGAAAATGGGTTAGCAGAAAGGGTAAGGATGGAAGGTTTTGCTTTGAGGGTTGCAATACGGGTGTTTACCTACCAAATGGCCCAAACTTACTTATTTCCAAGACAGGGGTCATTGGTCCTCTGGTCACAGAGGGGCCCTGTCCATCCTTCTTCGCACTCACAGGTGAAGCCCGACGGGCTGCCGGCCTGGCACGTGCCGTGGGCACACACTTTCTTGTGGCACGGCTCACAGCCCGGCAGGATGCCGGTTTGCATGGGCACCTTGCGGAAGTCCTGCAGCTCACTGTTGATGTAGAGGTTGCGGATGCAGCCGTGGAAGCTGGTGCCATTCTGCCCGGGGGCCTGGCGCAGGGCCGCAGCCACATTGTTCTTCCCGGGCATGCCTGTGGGGGACAGCGAGTCAGAGGTCAGGCTCTGTGGGGGCTCCTCAGCCATTTGCCACCCATACGCTGCTCTTGGCTCCTCCAGTGGGGTGGCCGCCTGTGTGACGCTTCTTTAGGAGAAATGGATGAGCATCCAGTCCTGTGGGTCTCAACCTGGGTGCACTTTCAATCCCACGGACTCTCGGAAGAAGTACAGATACTTGGCCCTTCAGCCCAGACCTCCTTGATCCGATTTTCTGGGCAGGGTTGGGAAGGGAGAAGAGATGTACGTTTCCTTGCTTTTATTTTTGACAAGGCACTCTAGGCAATTTTAATGAACAACTAGATAAAAGACCTCGTTCACTGATGGTCAATTTTTAATTTTTAGTACTTGTTTCAAACCAATGCTGACATGGAGGCATGAGTAGATATAAAATCCGAAAGCAGAGCTACTATACTTTAAGGTAGGATTAGGAAGGGGAGGAGGTAGTGCTTTTCTCTCTACACTCACCCCCTTAACCTGGACACATCCCCCCAGAAGCCTAGAATTCTGCAAAGCAAGGTTAGTAATTCCCTGGCCCATCCTGTCTCTTAAAGACGAAGGACCCAGGGCCCAAAGAGCTCAGGCGGCCTACTCAACATCACCCGGCAGTACTGAGTCGGAGTTAGGCAGATGAGATGAGCTTCCCAATCTCTGGTCACAGTTCAGTCCATCCAGGCTCAGAGGGCGAGGGCTGGGGGTCACAGTGACCATGGAGGCTGGTCCTGCCAGATTCTAAGCTAGCGACTGGTGCAGCTCACCATGGACAACATCCGGAGCCCAGGCATGGATCTCCATGCCGCAACAATCTCACCACGCTTCCTATCAGGATGGTACCTCATTCACATCATTTCCCCCCCTTGCTAATGGAGAGCAAAACCAAGCTATTCCAAGAAATCGGAAATACCAACAAAATAACTTCCTCCGAACACAGAATTTGCAATCTTTGTATGTGTTCATTTCACTAGTGATGGTCATCTTGTAACCCACATTTGGCAAAACTGAGGAATCTTTCCATGGCTTAAGCCAGACCCTGAAATAGTTCCTGGATGGGCTCCGACTGAAGGCAGCTGTCGAGGTCGCCGTGGGAGGCTCATAGAGCAGCTGGCTTTCCCCCTGGTGTCCATGTCCTTGTGCCTGGACTCCGAGCTTCTGGCTGGAGGGTCTGGGGGCTTTGCTGGTTAGAAGGTCCAAGAACTCAGCACTCCCTGGGCCCTGCCTTATGGCATCACCACCTTTCCCATCCACAGGGGCCCTGTTCGCAGGCGCCAAAGTCAGATAGCCAGGCGCACAACATCACAAGGCTGGAGGTCAAAGTCTTGGTTGTTGGCTCTGTGTGCACTTGGGCTGGTCATTTCCCTTCTCTGAGGCTTGGTTTTCTCATCCATTGTATGAGTGTATAGACCAAAACACTTGTTTCCAAGCTGGTCATATGTAAGAACCAGCAGACGGGCGTGCCCAGAAGATGACTCCCCACCCCCTCCCTCCCCGCCCTGAGTCCGACGCAGCAGGAAGCCCGGCGGGCAAGAGTCTAGACATTAACATGGGCCTCCAGGGCCTGTGAGGCGGGTGGTGCACAGCCACACTCGGACAACACTGAAGTATGTGTCTTGGCTTTGAAGTTCTGGGAACTCAGGCTTTTGGTCTCTGTCCATCTGGCCTCGGAAACTGGGGTGCTTCTGCAGAGCAAGGTCAGAAGGGTGAAGTGTGCTAATTCCAGGAGAGGACTAGTGACAGGAAATCCCTTACTCTGGGAGGAGATGTTCTAACTGAATCTTACCTGTCCGTCATACGTGTGGACTTGAGTGTTCAAATGTTTATGGGCCTTCTTCAGAGGTTAAAAAAGAACTCCTTTCCAAACTATGTTTAATAGCTTATTTTGATTGGGTTATAATACATATATGTGCACCTGTCAAGATTAAACAGACCCTTGTGGTGTTCCTCAGCGGGGACAAACAGGAAACGCGTTCCTTTTATTCCCAGAGCTAACAATTGTACAAGGTCTTAATTGATACTAACAAGCAAGAGAGAGAGACTCATCGATAGAGAGCAGGCCGACAGTTTTGGCAGGTGGGGGTGGGAGGATCGAGCCAAAAGGAAAAAGAGCTCGTGGACACAGACAAGGGTGTGTGATTGCGGAGGGAGGGGGTGGAGGGGGGAGAGGGTATAACAGGGATAAACGGTGCTGGAAAAAAAATGCAGTAAAAATAAACTACGGAAAAAAGGAATAGATCCATGTGTTTTTTTTCCCTTTCAGCTTGTCTTCTGTGCCATGGGCTGTAGCTGGAGTTCAATCAACAGATAACCCAGTAGGAGATTTTTGGGGTTAGCAAACTCTGTTTCTAAATGACCATAAAGGGGTTAAGGGTCAGAGCTGAGGTCATCTGCCCAATAGTGACATTGGGAGATTTGTGACATGCTGATGGGTCTTTATGTGTAGGTCCTGATTGTTTTTAACCTGTTAGGTGACACGACATGTTCTGACCGATTATGCAGACAAGCAGGAAGAGTAGATGGCTCTGTGTTCAGTGGGGCCTGTATCATGGGTGACTGATCACCCACGGGTGAGGCAAAGCCGCCTCCCTCTTTTGCTAGAAAATACTTCTGCAAGGGGCCTAAGGCACGGTGTCATCACTGAGGGGTGTCTTGATTTTCAGGCCGGGAGAGAAAAGAAAGCTTGTTCACCTCACTCTCCTTTGTGATCTCAGGTTCCCCTGCCTTCCCCGTATAGAATGCAGGGCTGCGGTTTTATGATTGCCTTGTGTTTCTTTGTTTTTGTTTGTTCAGATTTAAACATTTTTTATCTTTATTGTATTTTTTTCCATGACCATTTAGTTCCCTTCTTACTTCCCTCCCTCCAGCAACCACCACACTGTGGTCTTCAACCTGAATTACCCTTGAACTCTGAGTTAGAAGGAAATTAGTCTGCTCTGTTCTCTGGCAGTGAGGTGGGGACGGAAGTGGTTTCCTTTGGGCCTGGGTGGACAGCGGCACTGGGAGCATGTCCAGTCCCCCTACTGGCCAAAGGATGATCACTTGTAGTTTGGAATTTAAAACATTTTTTTTCTCTTTTGAAAAACATTCTCTCCAAGCACTCCCATTCTGTAACTCTCTCCTGCCCCCATTGCATTCTACAAGGGTTTACGAAGATTTCATGAAATGGTTTCTAACGAAAGCATAACGAAATCAGGTGAAGAACAAATCCAGAAGAACACAAAAAGCCACAAACTTTTGACTGCATCCCTTTCTGCTCTGTGTTAATCAGTGAGGGGCAATGCAGCTGGCTTTGTTTGGGTCAGACAGACCTGGACTAAAGTGAAATGTCTATCACTTTAGAGTTTTGTGAACTTGGATGAGTTTTACGAAGTCCCTGAGATTGCCTCTTTGGGACTGACTGTAAAACAAAAAAAGAGTCATACCTACTTCCTTAAGTCTCTGAGGAATCAGAGTGCAAAAGAAGCATCTCGCTGAGCACATACCATGTGCTCAGTAGATATAATTTCACCCCCATCTAGGTACATCTGTGACTTGCTTCATGACTCCTGAGGCAACAGCTGTTGACTGCCGTATGGGCAAAAAGGAAGGCTTCTGTCTTTTAATGAATCTCTCAGTTCTGATTCCCACGTAGCAACTAGTCTGCTTGCTGCACAGACTTAACATGTGATACATCTGATTATTTAAAAAGGTGCCTGCCTTCCCCATTCTCCTGGGCACAGAAGAGATTGTTTATTTCAACTCTGTGTCCTTTGGAACTAAGTATTCACTTAGTTCTCAGCATACTGGGGATGCTTGATAAATATTCACAGAATGGCACCAAAGACTTTTAACTCTCTCTAAAAACTCAAAAACCCTATCAAAGTGCTAAAATTTTCTATCGCAAATGATTGAAAATAAAAGTGCTCTGGACGTTCAGGGAAAGCTTTGAGGGGGTTGAGAAAATTGTGTAGCAGCCAAAGATTACTATTTTGAAGGGAATGATGTGAACTTCATAAAATACTTGTCACGGTGATGAAATCAGTTACATTGACCTGTAGAAAAGCTTTAGCTTATTTATCTGTAAAATAAGTTAATTTTATCAGTAATTTCACTTCAATTCAATGTGAGTTAATTCAACATTACATGCTTTCTTGCTTCTTTGCCTGAAATGTAAAATTCTATGCCTCCACTTTGTACTGGTCCTTCCCAATAGAGGCAAGAGTAGAAGGTCCCTCCTTTCTCAATCCTCTCTGGGCTGCTTCTGAATCTTGCTCACACTTCTTCCCTCACCTACTCATCTGACTTCTTGATTGGAAATAAAGTCCAAAGTCTTTATTAATCCAAGCCCGAATCCACATGCTGACCCCTCTCTCTTGTTCACTCACAAGAAGAACACAACTAAACAAAATATTGTCTAGTACCCCAATGCAGTTTGCATACTTAGTTTGTATGTTCATTCATTCAACTTCATTAATAATTATCCTGTCATCTACATGACTTAGCAACTGGTGGCCCAAACACTCCCAGCACGATAACAAGTCACGGAAGCTGGAGCGGTCACCTCCTCATGGGAGCTGGCGGAGATCATGCACTCCAGTGGGTATCAAACTCATTTCATCACTTTGTTCACTGTCTGATTTGATCTCTCTCTGCTTTCTTTTCCCCAATACCAGATTAGATAACAAGATGAAATTCTCTGATGTGCACATCACCCAGCAGGTGACAGACACATAGAAACATGAACAATCTTCACCCCAGCGACACATTCAGTCAAAACCAGAGATGGGATCACAAATCGGTCCCTGAACCTCGATCTAGGGCCCTTTCTCTTCTGTCCTTTCTGTCCATCTTTCAGCGACTGATCCCTACTCGTCAGTGACCACAGTACCAGGCACCAGCCACCGCAGAATCAGTCTCTGAGGAGAATCCCTGGGTTTGGGGACCCACTGGGTTTGGAAGAGAGCTTACCTCCTACATAGAGTGGGGAGTCGAAATTCAGAGTGGACTGCTTTGACAAGTTGGTGATGACTTTGGGGCTCCCTCCATCCACGGAGAGGGAGAGGCTCTGATCCAGGGCGAGCAGTTCCACAATGTGAAAGTTTCCATCATTGATCGTCTCCACACTACAGACAGACAGACAAGACAGACAAGCAAAATTGAGATGATGCGTCCATGTTCTTCATGTTAAAGAAGTCACAATAGAAATCACACAAGCCAATAAACACTTCTGAGGAAAAGACACTTCTGTCTAACATTAATGAAGATAAAAACCATTAGTTGATTTAAAAATGAAAGATATTTTTGACGTGATACTATTTCTATCCTTAGGAATAGATATAAGCCTGTTCTTCCATTGGGAGAAGCAGAAAAGACTACATTTTATCACTATCCAGTTATGTTCTCTTAACATATGAAGTCTGTCTGAAAAAGTCCAGTCTTTGTTAATATAATGAGAATGGTTTTCATGACATTGATGTCACCTGGCAGTCAAGGAGAGTGGACTGGAATGCACACGCATGAACAATGATGACTTCACTGTACTAGTCAGTGGTGGGTGGTAGACACTGTTGAGTGAGCATGTGTCCTGGGTGGCTGTTGCATTCAAAATGATGGAACAAGTACAGCCATGAAACTGCACCAATTTTGCATTAAGCTTGAACACTCCTCTGTGGAAACTATTCAGATGATTCAGAAGGCTGCATCTATGGGCAACTGGTGATTGGCAGCTTTATCATGACAATACGTCCACTCATGCATCACGTCTCATACAGAGTTTTTTGGTGAAACATCAAATCACCCAGGTGGCTCAGCCCTGTACAGCCCAGATTTGGAGCCCTGTGACCGCTGGCTTTCTGGCTTTTCCCAAAACCAAAATCACCTTTGAAAGGGAAGAGATTTTGGAACATGGATGGGATTCAAGAAAATATGACAGAGCAGCTGATGGTGGCTGGGACACCTGCGTGAGGTCCCAAGGTACCTACTCTGAAGGGGACTGGGGTGGCATTGTCCTATGTGCAATGTTGTTTGTATCTTGCATCTTCTTCAACGCCTCTTTTTCATAATACATGGCTGGGTACCTTCTGGACAGACCTCATATAGAAATTACAAAAGATACGTGATGTATTTGCTGTTAAATGCCACAAAAGTTGCACTTACTAAGATACTGTTAATCCAAGTTGCACACAGAAGACACAGAACCCACACCGTGTGCAATGCCTTCTACAGACATTAATGGCAGCAGATGAGTGGCATCTGCTCTCCTCATTACTGCACATGCGACTCATTAGAATCAAACGTTCCCAAATACAGGATGATCCAATGTGGGAAGATCACTGCGCTTTTTAAAGCATGTTACTTGATAACGCATATTCTTAATTTCTTTGAATTTTTCAGGGGACCACACATCAAGTGATGCTACTGTGAAGAAGTCCTCTGTTCAGTGGACAGGAGGGAATGACAGACTGAACAGAATGTGGACCAGAGTCACAACCAGGAGTCTAGTGGTGATGGGGGTCCTTCAGTTTTTCTTCTACAGCTTTCCAGGGCAAGGGGTGACCATTACTCCAAAAATTCTGAGGGAGCTGATGAACATTCATAATATGGACAAAAAGATCAAGAAACTTAGATCAATAGAAAACAAAGATTGAAAATAGGATGAAGCTGGGTGCTGTGAGCGAGTAGGTGCTGCCTGGTTTCACAGGGTGGCGGTGAATCTCGTGAGTGTGCTGCAGCCGGAGCAGCGGGAGAAGAGGCCCGAGACATGGGGCCTGGTAGCCACACACTCACCTTCCACCGTGGACGCCAAGCATGGCCGAGCGCCAACTGTGGCCAAAGGCAAATGGTGGATACCAAAAAGCTAATGCAATAGTGTTTTGACTGGAAAGATTTTTTTCAAATGGCTTCAGAATGAAAATATCGAAGTATATGTTAAAGAGATTGGGATACCTAATATTCCCTACACAAGGTGTTTACTTAAATTTCCAGGCATTGGTATTTGAATTTGCAAATAGGTCAAGTCTGGAAAACAACAGAAAAATGCACTGGCATTTCTGCACAGGTCTCACCACGGAAGTCTAATCTTACTCCTCTTTTTCAATTTAATTGCTTACATAGGATAGAAAGGTTTTGTGATTTGATAACACTATAAAGCATTCTGCAGCACTGTGACAACATTTGAGGTTCTCTTGTTTTAAGTGCTTAGAGGAGTCCCTGCTGGAACATTTGATAATCTGTCTCAAATACAATGTTTAAAAAATGTTAGATATGCTAATAAGTATTTCTGCCTTCTACACACTTAATTATCCCTTTGAAATCAACAACAACAAAAAATCCCAGTATACAAGGAAACCATTTGCTAAGTAAAGTTACATTGCAACTATTAATGGTCTTAAATATTAGTTTTCCAAGGGAATATGCTGAATAGTAATATCAGTTGTTAAGTGTACAGATTTTTGATGTCAAATAAATTGGATTTGAATTCAGGCCTTAAAATTTAAAAACTTTGACTTTAGATAAGTTACTTAATTGTTAATAAAGTTCAGTTTTCTCTTTAGTAGATGTTAATAAATATTTACCCCTCTTATGGTAAATTTGAGGGCTATTGGAGATAAATTTTTAAAAACTCAGAGCAAAGCATCCAGCCTATGGAAAGGACAAAGTTCAGTGTTAGATGTCAGTGTCCCTGTCACCAACCCCCCCCCAGTTATCATCTAAAAAATGCCATACTGTCTCAGAACTTTGTTCAGAAAGAAATGAGACCAGTTGTATTTTTAATAATAATTATAAGATTATAGAAACATCATAGCTACTTTGGGGGCATATCTTGTTCCAGTTACTAAAAGTTTTAGGTACAGCATTAAAATAAAGATAGAGAAGATAGTGGCCAATTGCTTTTTCTTTGTGATCACACACAACTCTCAAAGTGGTTTTTTATGAATGTTCCATGAACACTGACTGTAATTAAGTTATAGATATTAATAACAAGGTCCCCCGTTTCCTTTACAATTGTAGAAAGAAGACCCCTATGTATTGGGGAAGGGGTTCTGGGTCAGACAACGGTTTTGGACAATCAGTCCAGGCATGTCATCATGGATGGTGATGTTCGATGCAGTACAACTGAGCAGCAGGAGCCATGTATACTTATTTCTGTATGCATTCGTGTATCCACTAAGGTGTCTGGTGTAGAGTAGATGCTCAGTAAATACATGGTAAGCAATAAAATATAAGGGAGATGCATTAAGTATTATGTGTATAATTTTTTCAGTAATACTAACTGGATAATAGTTAAAGATAGTCAAGAAACTTCAAGTGTTCGAGCACAACATCAAAAAATTTTATTTTATTTTTACTTATTAAAGACTTTATTTATTTATTTTTAGAGAAATGGGGAGGGAAGAAGAAAGAGAGGAAGAGTAATCAATATGTGGTTGCCTCTCGCGTGCCCCCAACTGGGGACCTGGCCCACAACCCTGGCCTGTGCCCTGACTGGGAATTGAACTGGTGACCCTTTGGTTCATAGGCCAGCACTCAATCTACTGAGCCACACCAGCTAAGGCTAAAAAAAAAATGTATTTTATTTAAAATATTGGAGTTTACAGTGGTCATATCCTGAAGGGCAATGCTGGGAGATGAACCTTGTTTGGCTTGTTCTCAGTCCCATTAGATGTGTGACATCGGATCCGTGACTTCAGGTAGTTTTTCTCTGCTTTATTTTCCTCATCAGAAAAATGTGAATCATAAGACCAAAGAATTACATAGCATACACTATGAGCCAGGTACTGTTCCAAGAATTTTACATGTATTAACTCATTTAAGACTCATAACAACTCGAAGATTTGGGCACTGAGGGTATTCAAGGCAGCACTGCCAACGGACACATGGAGTTAAAGCCAGGTGGCCTGGCTCTCGAGGATGTGCTTTTGATTATTATGTCTCACTTCTGAAAAACAGCCCAAAAGGAAAGAGTAACTAGCACTCTACAATCATCACATGTTCTCACCACAAACAGGCCTTCAATAGGTGATTTCGCTCCAAACAGCCCAGGAACAAAATTCTATGGAAAACAACCTTGTGTGAGGATTGCACGACTTTGGCATTTACTAAACATCGAGGAAGTGTAAAAATAATGTAGTAATCTTATGACGAGAGTCTGAATTCAGTGAATGTTTGAGAGTGCATCTAAAGAACAGAGATGTGAAAGTTGGATTTGGGTTTAATTTTCCAAATTATACGTAAAATTCAGACTGACTTAGGTTTTTCTCCTCCCCAAAGCTTTAAGTGTCCAGTCTGATGATTCCAGAACTTGGCAAGAGTTACCCCCGAGCTTAATTCCATTTCTAGTTCCCTATAATGAAGACCTCACTCTGGTCTTTTCATAGGTATTGTAAAATTAATATTTTTAGATTTTTTTTTTTTGGTTTTTAAGGTGGCATCGTGTGTTTAGGGCCTGAGGAGAAAATGTGAGAGCTAAGAGTGTTCTAAATTGGTGTCCCACGCTGTCTTGTAAAGCATGTGACAGGCTGGGGGATGACCAGGCATGACCTTTGAAAATAGAAGCAGTGACCAACACACCGGCTGCAACACAATAGAAATGAGCCGTCATTGATTTTACTGTCTATCACAGTCATTGCCTGCCTATCTGCTCCCAATGCATGACGTCCTTTCGGGTTCAGAGGAGTATTGATGAACCCTCTCTCAGTCCTCTCTAGGGAGCTGTACCTTTGACAACTCACAGAAGTCACAAGCGAACCACTTAACAGCCAGCCCTTTCACTGGGAACGTAAATTGCCTTTATTATGTAATTCGGGTCTGCTACACTCATCTGTTACCTGAGCTTTTATTTTCTTGAATTTCTGAGTGGCTGTATAAAAACAAAGCAGTTACTCAATGATGTCTTGTGGTGTGCTAAGGAGGAAAGATTTAAAGACTTGGGCTTAAAAGAGGAGAGCTTTTAATTTGCCTCAGATTTTCTTAATTTACGCAGGACACGTTAACAATGGCTTTTATATTTCTATGTCAACCATAAATCTTAAGTTATTTCGGTAACTTAATAAAAAGATAGAGTTCACTTTGTTAGGCAAGGTACAGTTTTTTGCTTTAAAAATATAAAGTATCTGTTGGCATA